GCCCAACTATGTTACTTGGGTTTTCCCAATTGACACTTTTGTACAACTTGCAGAGATGCTCATATCCACTGAAGACACTTGGAAGCCAAAGGAAAGGGAGCTCAGTTACAAACGTGTGGGCAGAGTGAAGAGACCCTTTATGTGTAGCTGCTGGCAGAGTATCGATAGAAGTCCTGGGTGGCAACGGTAGCTGCCAACACTCCTATTACATCTGTTTACTTATTAGCCTGTCCTTATTGCATTTTGAGTCACTATGCTTCACAGAGGTCGATTACTAATAACAATGATGAACCACACCTTCTCTTTCCTCCCTGCCTTTGTAATAGGCTGGGAAGAGGTAGCCATATGGACGGTAGCAGCAGCAGACCAGGTTTTTTCACCTTCTCATGCTTAGCCTGAGAAGATGCCTTTCCTAATTACTCAGGACCTTGTGTAAGTAGAACATTTATCCCTTACAAGCATACATGCAAATCCCCACCAACAGGTAGTACTTAAGTGAATCCAATAAGATTATACACCATGTTGAAGTGTATTTTCCCCAGGAATGTGTGCTTTATTTCACATCCAATGTACATAAAAATAGATGGGGAGGGGAAGTATTTTACAAAACATCATTGAAATCCCCACAAATTAGGGATAGAAAAATGAATATAATAAGGAGCGTTTAGAAAAGTAAGTTTCAAACTTGTGAAAACCCAAAAGAAACTAATTTAGAAAAATGAATATATGAGTATATCAGCATGGAAGAATAAAAGTAGTATGTAAAAATATCATAATTCTACAAGTTAACAATAAACAATCGGGGTGAAATTAACAAAACATCACCTCTAACAGTATCAGAAGGCATGTATGCTGAATAAACATACTTATCACATAGACATATTTATCAAAAAATGAAATTGCTAAATAAACAAAGAGCTATTTGACATTTGAGGATTAAAACACTCACCACTGACAAATAGCAATATAAATCAAAGGAAAGAATGAGAGCACAAAAGAAAAAAATATATTTGTATGTTAATATTTTTATTTAAATTTGAAACAAGCTTGTTTTACATGTCAAACCCAGATCCCTCACCCTCCCCACCTCTCTTGTCCCCCTCCCAACCCCCCATCCCATTCCCTTTCTGCTCCCTAGGGAGGGTGAGGCCTTCCGTGGGGAATCTTCAAGGTCTCTCATATCATTTGGAGCAAGGCCTAGCCCCCCCCCCATGTGTCTAGAATGAGGGAGTATCGCTGTATGTGGAATTGGCCCCCAAGGTGAGTACTGGGGCAGCCAGTGTTATGTAGAGAGACCCTGTCTCAAAAATAGAAAGAGAGAGAGAGAGAGAAAGAGAGAGAGAGAGAGAGAGAGAGAAGGAGGGAGACAGGGAGGGAGGGGATGAAGAGAGGAAAGAAGGAAGGAAGGAAAGAAACTATGGCAAGATACAATATCATTCTCTAGAATAGACTTGTTTAAAGATTATAAATATTGACAAAGATGTAGAGAAAATAAATCTTTTTATGTTTTAATTTTTAGATAGCATCCCACTGGCCTCAGCTCTCAGAGGTCTGCCTGCCTCAGCTTTCCCAGTGCCGAATTCAGGTGTGCACCACCATGCCTAAATTAAATCTATTATTCTTGGTTGAGGATTGTAAAGTAGGAAAATTAAGCATTTCCTCAAAATAGTAAACATAAGGATGGCATATGGCCCAGCATATGTTCATGGGGGGAAAAACAGTATGCCCAAAATGTCCCTATCAGTATTATTAATAATAGCTGATAATTCAAAGGTAAATGTTTATCAACTGATGAATGGCTAAACAAAATCGGGTACACCTGTATGAAATATTAAACATAATAAAGAGCTAAGCACTGATATATTAAATGACCTGGATGAGTCTTAAATTGTTGTGGTAACAAAGAACCAAATAGCAAAAGACAGTCTATTACACAATGTCACTTATGCCATGTGTCCAGAGTAAGCAAATCCATAGACCAGACACGGAGTAATGGTTGCTTTAGTTAATGGACAAAGGAATAGGAAATGAATATTAATATGCTTGGTGTTTCTTTCAGAGATATTAAAATGATTTAAAAGTAATGAATGCTTATATTAAATTACATCTTTAAAAGCATATATATATATACACACACACACATATATATATATATATATTCTTTTTTTTTTTTTTGGTGGGAGTACAAACTCATACAGCAATCTTGGAGATCAGTATGGCGGTTCCTCAGGAAAATGGGAATTAGTTTACCACAGGACCCGGCAATCCCCCTCTTAGGCATATACCCAAAGGATTCACATCCATGCAGCAAAGACATCTGTTCAACTATGTTCATAGCAGCACTATTTGTAATAGCAAGAACCTGGAAGCAACCTAGATGCCCCTCAATTGAAGAATGGTTAATGAAGATGTGGCACATCTACACAATGGAATACTACTCTGCAGAAAAAAATAATGGTATCTTGAAATTCGCAGGCAAGTGGATGGCACTTGAAGAAACCATCCTGAATGAGGTAATCCAGTCACAAAAAGAGGAACACAGTATGTACTCACTCATATATGGATTTTAGACCTAGAGCAAAGGATCACCAGCTTATAATTCACACCACCAGACGAACTAGGATACAAGGTGTATTCTAAGAGATTCATATAAAGTCCCTCACAGAACTGGGAAGGGACAAGTCCCCCAGAGCTCAGCTGAAGTGGGGGAGGACAGCGAATGGAGAGAGAAGTAGAAGAAAATGAGGGGGAGGAAAGGAAAACATGTGCGACCAGGAATATTGAGCCTGGTTAGGAATAGAAGATAGGAAAGAGAGAGACAGAGACAGAGACAGAGAGAGAGAACATAAAAGAGGGAGCCAATATCGGTTTGAAGATAAAATTGAACACAAAGAAAGGTCGAGAGAGCTAATATATATTTTAAAGGACTTTAATGAGAAACCTAAAAGAAGCCATAGGGTTTGGTGATATTCATCTATTACATATTTTATAAAGAACTTATATCAGGAGTATAAGTTTATCAATTCCATAATAAGACAAGAAGTTAAGCTACCTGTTTAAAATGACCATTTTTTTATTACACGTTTCAATAAAGAAGGCATACAAATAGCCAAATGTACATAGGGGAAATTCTTGCTTTAATAAATCATTAGAGAAATGCAAGAAAAAGTCATTATGGAACATGTCACACACAAAGGTAAGACACCAACTATCAAGAAGCAATACTGATGCCAGAAAACATGTGAAAACAATGAATCCTTATGCTCTTCTAGTAGGAATGTGAAATGATACCCACACCGGGAAACTGTTTGATGGTTTGTTCAAAAGCCGAACATGTTATTGCATAACCCAACAATTCTATCCCATGAGTCTACTCAAGCGAAAAACATATATACTTGTAAACATCTTCATATGAATATTCATAAGGTAATATTCATAATGGCCAAAATTTGGAAATAAGCAAATTATCGGCTGGCAAATGGATAAATAAAAGGAATCTTTCCCATGAAACAGAATACTATTTATCAATATAGGGAGATGAAAAATTAACACATACTACAGAAGTATGAGCCTGACAAAAACATTCTATTAGATGAAAGAAGCCATGCATGAAATATAATCTGTTGTGAGTCTGCTTATGTGAGACATAGAAATCAAGAAGCTACAAAGCCAGAGAAAAGTGTGACTACATGTGGTTGGAGGTGAGGACAGCTAGGTAGAAGCATTTTAGGTGGAGGAAATGATCCAAAACTGGCTTATGATGATAGATGAGCAACCATAAAAATTGACCAAAAAAAAAAATCAATGAATGCATAACCTGTGTAATGATAGCTTAAAGGAAAAAAATTAAATAAGTCAGCAATGTGACCTTACTAAACCGATAGAACTGAAAAACTGAAGCGTGGGCATGTCTGAAGTGTGGTGATAGCAAACTACATAGAGCTTCTCAAAGGCAACTTTAAGAAAATGTCATCTGGTTATCAATAAACATGTCAAAGCAGACAGGGGAAGCCCATGAGATCTCAGCCCTAAAATAATCACAGTGAAATAAGGGACAATAAGAGGGGAGAGATAATCATCTCCAGGGAAGCCCACCAACTGATATTACCCAACACCATAAAACATACGTATGAATGGCATTATATAGACTAAGTTATATTTAGGAATGTATATACATGTACATATATGTATGTAACAAATGAAAAGGGAGGCTGTGGATTTGAGAGTAAGGAGAGTATATAAAAGGGTTTGGAGGGATGGAAGGGAGAAATACTATATATAATCTCAATAATAAAAGAAGAAAAAATTTTAAAAGGAAATGTCATCTGGCAATAGCCATCCCTCAGTCAAGAATCCAACAGAAAAATTCATGAGGGCAAAGAAAGGAAAGGACCACTCTTCTAAAGGATAGTCCAAATAATTTCTTTCTAAAACCTCAAAGAGTAATGGGGTAGCAGTTCTGATCAGATACATTTACCTTGGCCATTGTTTCTGATACCAAACTGATTCTGAAATGAACATAAGGGAGATAATGTGAATAGAGGATGGAAACAAGGAAATCTCTGTCTGACATACTGTTGTTTAATTCTGGCATTTGACTTGTATTCCATTGATACAGTTCCAAATTCTCTCTCCTGAGTTCAGGCCCTCAGTATCTATTAGGAAAGGGAAAAAGAAACATGTGAGCGGAGTAATTTATTATTTTTATTTTACTTGTGTTTATAATATGCCAAAATACCAGAACTGGATGAACCCTAAAGTTCCTCCATCGAGTCCATAATTATTTAAAAAAAAATAAAAAAAAGCAATTCTCCCTCTCAGTGCACAAAAGAAACTTTCAAAGGAAATCAGAGGAGAACTGAGCTGGAACTGACTGAACTCCTGCGTGGCATACACACAACCGGGGTCTCTTTCAAACAAATTATGAAAATATGCTATTGCTGTCATTGTGTCTGAAGTCAGAGTGCATCAAACTCAGAAGCACAGGATCCCATGGTCTGTCAACCCCGAGCGCCGCTTGTTGGAGCCAAGTCCCAGCTTCATCATCTCAGGGAGAAGAATATCTGCCGAAGAAGAGGATGCTGTCGGACTGTCTGTGCCTGATGAGGAACAAGAACGGGTGGTCGCAGTGCACAAGCTCACTGCCTGCAGCTGACGAGACCATGAAGCCCATGCCAGTGCCTGCAGTGGCCTCAACACCTTCCTCAGTCACCACCACGAAGGACCTGTGCAGAAACTTCTGGGCGTGCAGCCCGGAGTGAGCAGACATTCCTGAGTAGTCTGCATGCGCTCTGAAGGCACTGCGCATGCCCATAGCTTCCAGCACGGGCTGTAGCTCATAGCTCTCTTCCACCTGCATGCGAGGCAGGCGCAGGTCCACTTTCCTTTGCTCCAGGTGTCCGGGGCTGGTCCACTCTAGCAACTTCTCAGGGGATAGTTTATCGATTATCTACAGTTGGAAAAAGAAATGCAAGAACATATTAAAAGCTGCACACTGGCTCCAACCAGCCAGAAAGTATTACTGTTAATAACAAATGCAGAATTTCCAATTCAGTCTGTTGTCTACATAAGACTGTTGTCTGATATTCTCTACTATATTTCCCTATATTACAGTGTCTGTATATAGCATGAGGAGAATTTTTCAAACTAAAAACAAGATATTTAAAATTCTTCATTTCAATTTCTGCTCTCTTCTAGTTTCTATACATGTATGAATATATGTACTCACAGTGAATATCTATTTTATTGTATTTAACTTCACACCACATGTCTCATAAGCTGATAGAGTTAGCTAACAATACTGTCAAGTTGCTATGTGTTAGACAACAGTCAACGCTATCCATCCCCATTACAGACATTTAATGTGTATGAAGCATTCCAATATAAGGTGATAAATTCTGCAGAAAGAAAATTAACTGGGAGCAGAGTTATATGTAGGCTGAAGCTTCAGGCCCAGAGCAGCTTCAGTGAGAGGCCCGAATCCCAGCCCAGAAGCCCATCAGATGAAGGCTGGAGCTTCAGGCCCAGAGCAGCATTGAGTCATGAGCCTCAGACCCAGGAGCATCTTTAGAGGTAGGCCTGGATCAGCAGCATCAGAGGGAGGTACAAGCTTCAGGCACTAAGCAGTATGATGGGAGCCATGAACCTCAGACCTGGGAACAGGGTCAGAGGGAGGTCCCAGCCTCAGCCCCAGAATCAAGGAATGATTTCCAGGAGAAAGACAGTAGTGGATTCCAGCAGTAGCTTCCCGAAATTCCTCTGGGAAAGAGAACCTGTTTCCTAGCCAGCATCCATTGACATTTCTTGGTTGGAGATGATCTGCTAGTACATGGACCACTGAACCCTCATCCCCATCTATGCCTCCAACAGCAGGAGTGTCCACCAGACCTGTAACACCACCTATACTTCAAGGAGTGACCACCTAAGCACTGGCCTACTTCCACCACAAAGAATTTTCACCAGAAACTCTGCTCTACTTGTGCCTGAAGGAGTAGTTAATGGAGCCCAAACCCCCAACTATACCAACTGGAGAGAGAAGCCCTGAATCACAAGCTCCACCTATACCAATTAGAGGAAGAAATGTATAGACACTCAAAAATATAAAGAGCAATATGACACCACTGGAAACTAGTGGTACCACAACAGCAAGACCTGAACATCCAAACACAGATGAAGAAGAAAATGACCTAAGAAATAACTTTATGAGGATAATTGAGGCCTTTAAAGAGGAAATGAAAATTCCCTTAAAGAAATGGAGGAAAACACAAATAAAAAAACGGAAGATATTGACAAATCCCTTAAAGAAAACACAATCAAACAAGTCCAAGACTTGAAAATTGAAATAGAAGCAATAAAGAAAACATAAACTGAGGGAATTCTGGAAATGGAAAAGTTGAGTAAATGATCAGGAACCACAAATGCAAGCATAAGGAACAGAATGCAAGAGATGGAAGACTCTTAGATGTTGAAAATGTGATAAATTCATTGGTAAGAGGGAATTTTAAATCCAACAAATCCTTAATACAAAACATGCAGGAAATATGGGACACCATGAAAAGACCAAACCTAAGAATAATGGGGATAGAAGAAGTCCAAATCAAAGGCACAGAAAATAAATTCAACAAAATCATAGAAGAAACCTTTCCCAAACAAAAGAAGGAAAGGCCTATGAAAATATAAGAGGCATGATGTTACCCTGTGCACAGTCCCCAGTTCTGTGGTACAATTACACAATGAAGTACTACTCAGCAGAAAAAAAAAAAAAAAAAAAAAAACACTGGAATCTTGAAATTGACAGGCAAATGGATGAAACCAGAAGAAACCATCCTGAGTGAGGTGACACAGTCACAAAAAGACAAGTACATTATGTACTCACTCATATATGGCTTATATATGGCTTTTAGACATAAAGCAAAGGATTACCAGCCTACAATCCACACCGACAGAAAAGCTCGGAAACAAGAACCCTACAAGAGACATACATGGTCCCCCACAGAAGGGGAAAGGGACAAGATCTCCTGAGCAATTGGAAGCATGCAGGGAAAGGAAAAGGAGTTATAAGAAAGAGAAGAGAAGAAGAGAAGGGGAGAGGACATGAGGGAGCAGGAAGATTGAGTCTTGGGAAGAATAGAGGAGAGCAAGAAAAGAGATACCATAATAGAGGTAGCTGTTATAGGTTTTAAGAGAAATCTGGCACTAGGGAAATGTTCAGAGATCTACAAGGATGACCCCAACTAACAATTGAAGTAATACTGGAGAAGCTACCTTAAATACCCTTCCCCAATAATGAGATTGGTCACTACCTTATATGCCATCCTAGAGCTCTCATCTAGTAGCTGATGGAAGCAGAAGCAGACATCCACAGCTAAACAGTAAGCCGAACTCCTGGAATCCAGTTGCAGACAAGGAGGAGTGATGAGCAAAAGAGTCAAGACCTGACCAGAGAAACCCATAGAAACTGCTGTCCTGAACAAGGAGGAGCTCATGGACTCAAGTCAGCATAGAACCAACCCAGACCCCCTGAACATGGGTGTCAGTTAGGAGGACTGGGAAGTCAATGGGACCTCTGGTAGTGGATCAGTATTTATCCCTCGTATATGAATGGACTTTGGGAGCCCATTCCACACAGAGGGATACTCTCTCAGCCTAGACAGATGGGGGAGGGCCTAGGCCCTGCTGCAAACAAAATGAGAAACTTTGAAGACTCCCTATGGAAGGCCTCACCCTCCCTGGGGAGCAGAAAGGAAATGGGATGAGGGTTGGTGGGGAGGGCAGGAGGATGCGGTAACTAAGATTGACATGTGAAACAAGCTTGTTTCAAATTTAAATTTAAAAAATTATTTAAAAAAAAAGAAAATACAAAAGACAGAACACCAAATAGACTTGTCCAAAAAAAGGTCCCCTAGCCACATAATAATCAAAACAATGAACATACAGAATAAAGGACAAATATTAAAAGCTGCAAAGGAGATAGGCCAGGTAACATATAAAGACAGGCCTATCAGAATTACACCTGACTTATCAATTAAAACAATGAAAGCCAGAAGGTCCTGATCAGATTATCCACACACTAAGGGACCATGGATGCCAGCCCAGCAAAATTTTCAATAACCATAGATGGAGAAAATAATATATTCCATGATAAAAACCAAATTTAAAAAATACCTATCCACAAACCCAGCCCTACAGAAGGAACTATCAGGAAAATGCCAGACCAAGGAAATCATCTATGTCCACAAGAACACAGGAAATAGATGAGCTTACAGCAGGAAATACGGAAGAAGGTAACTGAACACACAGTGCCATCACCACCAACAAAAACTAAAATAACATGAGCTAGCAATACTGCTCATTAATATAAATGGTCTCAGTTCACCTATAAAAAGACAGAAGCTAACAGACTGAATACAAACACAGGATTCCATCCTTCAGGATATATGAAACATACCTCAAACTCACAAACAGACATTATTACCTCAGAGTAAAGGGTTGGGAATTTTAACTAAATGGACCCAAGAAACAAGCTGGGGTAGCTATTCTAATATCTAACAAATTAGACTTCAAACTAAAATCAATCAAAAAAGTTAAAGAAGAGCATTTCATATTCACTACAAGAAAAATCCATCAAGAGGAAATCTCTATTTTGAACATCTATGCCCCAAATACAAGGTACCAACACTTGTAAAAGAAAGATTCCTGAAATTTAAATCAAGCCATAAACACTGCTAGTGGGAAACTTCAACACCACATTCTTACCACTTGACAGATCTGCCAGGCAGAAGCTTAACAGAGAAATAATGGAACTAACAGATGTTATGACTCAAATGAACTTAACAGAAAGGTAAAGAACATTCCACCCAAACACAAAAGAATATAGACATAAAGCAAAAGATACCCAGCCTACAATCCACAACCCCCAGAGAAGCTAGAACCCTCTTCCAAATATGGAAGCAGATGCAGAAATCCACAATTAACTAATGGGCCAAGATCCTGGAGTACAATTCAAGTGAGGGAGGAGCGACAATATGAACAAAGGAGTCAAGACCATGATGGGGAGACCCATAGAATCAGCTGACCCGAGCTAGTGAGAGATCACTGACTCAGATCTGACAAATGCAGAACCTGCGTAAGACCGAACTAAATTCCCTTAATATAGGTGACAATGATGCAACTGGTACAATATATGAGGCCACTGGCAGTGCGTCCAACATCTAACTCTAACGCTCAAACTGACTTAGTGGAGTCCATTCTGTATGGAGAGATACCTTGCTCAGCCTAGACACAGGGGTTTGGGGGGTGGAGAGCTGCCTTGGTCCTGCCTCAACAAGATGATGGGATAGACTTAGTAGACTTCCTAGGGGAGGCCTTACCCTCTCTGAGGAGTAGATTGGAAGTGGAGGGGTATAGGGGGGAAGCAGGAGAAGAGGGGGGGACTGGGATTGGAATGTAAAAAATAAATTAATAAAAAAGAAAATAATTAGCAATTGCTATGAATTTCAAACTAGGCACCTTCCTTACTGTATTCAATGTTGGAACTGCTGATATGACTAACAAAGCCAGTTTTCTCCTGATTCACCTCATTTCAGTGATGCCCAGAAAGATGCTTTAGTATCAGAATGTGTGTATGTGTGTGTTTGTGTGTGTGTGTGTTTCTTTCTCTCTCTCTTTCTGTCTCTCTGTGTGTGTGTGTGTATTTCTCTCTTTCTCTCCTCTCTCTCTCTCTCTCTCTCTCTCTCTCTGTGTGTGTGTGTGTGTGTGTGTGTGTGTGTGTAAAGCTCCAATACATGTTTCACTTTGTTCCAACTTATAAAGCTGTGAGCAAAGCCCCATAGCACAAATTAAGTTTACTGAATGCCTCCTATGCAATCCATGTGTTCTAGGCTGCACTTCCTGAGCCACCAGAAAATGTCACCTATCAAGTCCCAGGGAGGCCAATTTCACAGATGAGAATGCTGAAGAACAAGGAAGTTAGGAGGGTTTGTAGTTTTAAAACAACTTTAAAAATATGTATTTGAAACTACATATTCCTGGTGTCCAGAATACAAAACACTAGCCTTGTAATTGTTTTGAAAAGAAATGGGTGGACCTACGTCAAGAATAAGGTTCAAAGAATAAATTCAAAATCCAAGGACTTTGCTAAACTGCATGCAAAAGTTCCATATATATGCAATATGGTTTTCCAGGCAAAGAGTTCATAGACATTAATGACTCCTCAAAATGGTATAGATTCCTTAGAACCTACACTACTTAAAATATTCATTTTGCTCAGCTCAACACAACTGCAGTCTAGTTATTCTCAACAAAGTCTATTCCTCAATAGAGATCAGCTGGTAGCCACTTTCACAGAGAAATGCTTCCCAAGTGGCATAGCTAGGCATCAAATTCTGTTCAGAAGCCCTGTTCCCAGGTTCCCCAGTACAAAGGATCCAATATAGAATGTTTTTAAAAAATGGTATAGGCCAGGAAATGCCAAGATTTACCTTCTCCAGACCATCTATGTCATTGGGCAGAAGCACAAACATGCTGAGGTCGTTGTTTTTATATGGAATGCCCACAATTTTGGCCTGCAGGTCCTCTAAGAGTCTGAAGCTGAAAGAGCCACACTGGGTCATCATCTGCACAGGTTTACTTGTGCTCTGCAACGAATAAGCAGAGGCAAACACATTAATACCGAAATCACATGGCACCCAAGTAGCCAGTGAAAATAATACAGCTTCCAATAGCGTCAAGGATCTGAGTTACTGAATTTTAACTAAATGACTGCATGTGCCAGATGTGAACAGACCACACATATAAAGGACCATACCTTATTCAGCCAGAAGTCCTCCTCCTTGGTGTGTTCTTTCTTAAACCCCCTGTCCCACAGGCCTTTAAAATAAACGGTATTAATGAGCACCAGCTTGGTAGAGCTGTTAAAAGAGCCTTCTGGAAACTGGTCCTTGACTTTTTCTGAAAACAGAGAAACAGAAAAGACTGGTCCATCTTGCAATTCGCAAACTATATGTGTGTCGGGTATGGACGCAGGTGGACTTGGACAGCCATTAACACTGCAGCAAGTCAACACCTTGTGCACCAAGGATTTGCTGGCAGTCAACAGGGAAATTCTCATATAGTCTCTGTTTCCATGAAGTTGTACTTAGTATCAACTAAGAAATCTTTGGCAACTTATTTATACAATCTGTGCCTCAGTTTCCACATTTACAAAATAGAAACATAACATGCCTCTTGGAGTTGCTTAAATGAATAAGTGCTTTAACATGTATATACATGTTATTTTTACCTGGCATGCCTTCTGCACTGTTTCAGATTTTATTCTTCCCTTGTGATTCAGAAATGATTTATAAGAAACAGAATTTGAAGTGTATGTATGAGGGGGTACTCACCTGTGCACACCAAAGTTCAACATCAAATTGCCTCCCTCTGTCATACACCACCTTGACAAAGATGCTCCCTGAACCAGGAATTCACGAATTTAAGGAGGCTAGCTGGCCAGAAAATGTCTACATCTTTCCATCCTGAAGCCCCCAATGATCATCACATCTATGCTCAGCTTTTACATAAGCTCTGGGGTCTTAACTCTGGTTTGTACATCTCCTCAGTCCCAGAAACTTGTATTTTGGATTCTTGTTCAGTTCACACTACACTAAATACTGAAAAATTCTGTTAGTGAGGCTTTCCATATGCCCATGTTTTCTGGTTGTTTTATTTCTTTCTTTAAATAAAATACAAAGAAAAACATGTCATGTCACTGTCATGACAAATCTCATTAATAGTGGCAATAGGAAACTGTAGATATTACCTATTTCTCCCCAAGCAGTATTTTCATCTTAATATTTCTCTAATATGTCTAATATGTTTGACTCCTAAAAGAGAATGATGAGAGGAAGGTCGGGGAGATAGTCCTCAAATCATCCCTACAAGATGCTCAAGTGCTAGAGAGTGGCCCTAGCTGCAAGAAGCAAACAGAGCTATGTGTGCCTCACCTAACAAAGAGAGTGAAGACTCTATGCCATTTGCCGTCAGAGCTCCAGACTCAGAAAGAAAAGCTATTATCGCAAAGAATAAGCTAAAGACAAGCATGATGCCAGCCCGAGTACCGTAAAGGTAATGTGATTCACAGCTTGTGCAAGCAACTCCCACTGTTGCATCTCTTCCTGCATTCTAAAACCATCCATCCCCTGAAGTACTCCATCCAACCTGTATGCATATCTTGGTCTGTACCCATCTCTAGCGCCTTCCAAAGCTCATCTATACAGCCACAAGTCCAAAGCTTTGGTCACAGCTGGTAATCACAAAATGCTTTGTGTCGAAAAATCTATCCATACAATACCATTTGTTTGGCTTTCAACCCAGGAATTAATCTTCTTTCGACTTTCATCTGCAGCATTTATAAAATCAACAGGTTCCAGAGATGCATGGTAATATTTTTCAACATAATCTATGTATTTCTTTGGGAGAGACAGGGGAGAAATAGAAAGAGATTGAAGAATTTATTTATCAAGTCCAAATACATGCTAATAAATGTATCTGTTTATTAGGAAAAACTACTGTCAAAATTTGAATTTTTTAGGTCCTCACTCCCTCCGTGGGCTGTCATGTAGGTGCAATGTGATTAAAGCAAAAGTCAGATATAGGCTCCCTAAATTCATAAAGTAACTGCATGTCTGCAAAGCACGCAAGAAAGACTAGTAAAGCAGGACCATGGCAAGCAGCCAACTTGGCAGCATGGCCCCAGGACTCAGTCCTAAAAGGGATATTGGCCATTTTTTGTCATCACTCATACATATGGCAGACACAACAGAACTTACTTGAAGGAAGAGGTATGTTTTCTCTCCAAACAGCCTGTTGCTTATGTTCAGTTCATAACCACTAGGGAATTTTCTTATTTCAGTCAAAAGCTTTTGGAATTGATCATGGACTTCTGTCTTCTCAATCTTCAAAAATGAAGATAAAAACTCAGTGGGTTATCTTGGAAAAAGCCAGCCTAGATTCTCTTCCAAAGGGTTGTGGCTAGAGCCCTTCATCTGGTGAGCAAATCTGAGAGTAAATTAGAAATGTCCATTGGTATCTGGATGTCATCTGGCTTTATACAATCCCAGAAGCTAGTCATATCCAATCAGAACTTCACAGAGAAGCCTCCAGCAGCCCCAACACCACAGATCTGGTTATGGATTTGAGTCTCACTAAGTGATTCATACATTTGTTTTTATCTACCCACAGACTCAATCACTTGAGAAATGTAAATGATCCCCCAGATAATTTCTCACCACTAACACTTGGATATTTCTGTTTTAAACAGCGAATAATAAAAGTGATTCTTCATCAAGTAAGCAGTTATTTACCAGAGCTGCAAATTGAACTAAAATTAAATTTGTCATGTTTTTTTTTAAAAAAAAATTACCAAAATCTTCTGGGTATCTTCTATAGGGTGTACCAGTTGTTGGTCTTGTGCTATAGACATTGTGTGGCAAAGCTGGGTAAGCCAGAACACATTAGAACAGAGAAGAATATTGCCTCATAACCTGTTGAGTGGAGTCCAGTTGTTTTAATTCACAGATGATGCAAAGAGAGGACAGCTTAGTTCTGAAGTGAGTGGTCTACTCCTGGTGCCACATGAGAACTGAAAACCCATTTCTTGTACAACACAATGCCTAAAGGTTTATTCAGTTCTCCATTGTGTCTCTTATTTTCATTTCTCATGCCCAACTGCCTACCACAGACCCAGAAAAACATAGACAGCTGACTTTTGTAAATAATTAATAACTATTTGAAGACATTTGAATTGAAAATGCATATCCACACTGCTCTGGCACTATCTATACAGCTGACCTTTGCCGCCTCCTTGCTGTTATGAGACTAAGTGGCTAGCAATCAGTTTCTGGCTACTTGGGTTGGTAGGGGCATGTGGTGAACAGGTCAGGTGCATCACACCCTGCGGGAATTAAGAGCTCAATGTGCATTAATTTCCTAGTGAGTCATTTGTGACTAAGCTGACCTACAAACAAGGGAAAAGAAGAAAACCCTGTTTTCAAACAGGCTTGGGATTTTAGTTTACACTATCTTGGTAGTGGCCTTGAGTTTGTAAAATCCCAACATCCTATTCCAGAAGTGAACATGATATCTTCATCACAAAACTGACTACATTACAGGCTTGACTGTGTCCCTAAGGTCATCAACCAAATACAAGATCATGTTCCAGAATTATATGTTGTGAAGAAACAAGTCCCAAATCAAACTCATAGGAAAATAGCAAACAGCCACAACACAGACATAAACATTTAGGTGTTCACATCAGCTCTACCATACAGAAAAATTTTCTAGAGGATGCTGGTCCTTGAAAACATGTATAAAATACAGCATCTTCCACAAACGACGCTAGTAAAAACTGAATGGCTACATGTAGAAGAATGCAAATAGTTCCATACTTATCATCCTGCATAAAACTTAAGTCCAAGTAGATAAAAAGAAAACTCAAGATAAAACCAGATATACTGAACCAAATGGGAAAGAAAGTGGGGAATGGCCTTGAATGCATTGACACAGGAGAGAACTTCCTGAACAGGACACCAATAGCACAGGCACTAAGATAAACAGTAAATGAGACCTCATGAAACTGAGAAGCTTTTTTAAGGCAAAGGAAGTATCAATAGGACAAAATTGCAGCCTACAGAATGGAAAAACAATTTCACCAACTCTACATCCAATAAAGGGCTAATATACAAAATATATAAAGAACATAGGAGTTTAGGTATCAACAAACCAAATAGTCCAATTAAAATGGAGTTCGGGTCTAAACGGGGAAGGGAAACACACCTATATTGCTGGTAGGAGTGCAAACTTGTACAACCACTGTGGGAATATTTATGGTAGTTCCTCAGAAGATTGGGAATCAATCTACCTCAAGACCCAGCTATACCACTCTTGGACAAATACCCAAACAAATGTTCCATCTTATCACAAGGACACTTGTTCAACTATGCTCATAGTGGCTTTATTTGTAATAACCAGAAATTGGAAAGAACTTAGATGTCCCTCAAGTGAAGAATGGATCAAGAAAATGTGGTATATTTACTCAGCTGTTTATAAAAAAACTTACGTCATGAAATTTTCATGTATGGAACTAGAAAAATTCATTCCAAGTGAGGTAACCTAGACTCAGAAAGGTAAATATGGCAATGTTCACTTACATGTGAATACTAGCCATTAAGTAAATGACAGCGCACCTACAATCCTACAATCCATATACTGAGAGAGGATAGGTATAAAAGAAAGGGCTAGGAAGAATGGTCTCCCTGGGAAAGGAAAATAGAATATACTTTATAATTAGACTGGGGGTGGGTGTGGATAGGAACAGGAGGATCAGGTGAAGGGGGAGGAGAGACCATTGAAGGCGGGAATGCAGGGAGGGCATTTGAGGGGTGGTATGGGATCATAGTTTAGTGGGAACTCCCTAAAATATGTGGAAGCAATCCTAATGAGGCCTGCTAATAATGGGGAAGACATAGTCCCAACTGTCCATCTCTTGTCACCAAGCAAGGCTTCCAGTAGCAGGACTGGGTTACATTAATTTAGCTCTTGGATAGAGGTGTCCTAACCCTCAAACAATGCAGACTGTTGCGAAGGCAATAGAGTGTTCTCTGCAAACTGACACTGGGCCAAATCGCCAAGGACAACACCCATACAAATCATTAAACGTGGAAAAGTTGAGCTGGTGCAACATGGAAACTTCACCCCTGTGTTTTAGTGCCCCTAGTGTGGGAAGATACACTGCAGGCTACCAAAAGAGAAACATAAACACCAATCCAGACACAAAACATTTGACATACAATCTGTCCTGCCTGTAAGGTATGCTAAGGCAATGTTGGAACAGAATTTGTGGGAGTAGCCAAGCAATGTCTTATTTGACTTAAGGCTCACTCCACAAAATGGAACCCATTGCTGACAATTGGGTGAGCAAGAACCAAAGAATAGATAGCTTAAAGACCTAGGGTAAAACCAAACACCACTGTTCTAAACAGAGGAGTAATAAATGACTCCTAATGGTATTATGCCATACTCCTAGACTAGTGCCTTATTAATTCAACATCAGAGAAGCTTCCCCCTGTAGCAGATGGGAACAGATACAGAGACCCTTTGTTGGACATTATGCAGAGAGTCTTTTGAATACCCAGCTCTAAATGGGATGTCTCCAATAAATCCCTCTCTTCAGAGCTCAAACAACCCTAGGAAGAAGACACGGAAAGAATGTAAGAGACATAGGATGGCGGACATCATGAGAACAAGGAACTTCATCCATGAAACAAGGCTCATATGAACTCACAGAGACTGAAACAGAAATCTCATAGCTGACACAAGTCTGCACCAGGTTCTGCATATATATTATGGCTTCCAGTTTAGTATTTTTAGAGGATTCCTGGGTGTGTGACTAAGTTGGTCTCTTATCATTGTGCCTTCTCTTGGGACTCTTTTCTTTCTGTTGGTTTGCTTTGTTCAGCTTCTATGTGAGGATTCCATTTTATTCTACTATATTTTACTTTCTTATGTTTTGTTGTTTTCATAACTTAGCCCATTCTTTTCTAATAAGAGACAAAAAGAAGAGGACCTGGATAGAAGGGTGGGTGTAGAGGAGCGTGGAGGAGAAGAGGAAGGTAACAGTAAGCAAGATATATTGTATAAGACTCTATTTCAATAAAAGGGAGAAAAAAGAAAACATGTTTAAGAAAGAAGTGATTGCCTATGTTTCAGTTTGGATGAACTAACGCTCATATATTTGATTCACATTTAAATTCACTCCATGGTCAGACAGCTTGTCAGTGCTGAATTGGTGACCCTGAAGATGACTCTACACAATTGTCTCCATATTCCTCAGAAGACAAAAAAAAAAAAAAAAGGCATTAAGAAATCTTGGTAAAAAATTGTTCTGACATTTTTTAAAAGGGCAGTGAAGAAAATGGGGGCGTTATATTATTCAAAAATTAAGTGGCTGAGAATTTTCACCAATATTGAAAAGTATGAGTCCTTTTAACACGAAAATGTTTAATCAGCCATCCATACTAGGTTTTGAGGTAAAATAGTTAAATTAGATAAAGAAAACAAAAATTCTTGTTAAGCTTATTAATGGAATATAATAATTCAGAACCATTTTCATTTTTATTTTATGTCAAAAACTCATAAAAGGACTGCAAGATGGTTCATGAGAAGGTGAATGCCACCAACAAGCCTGGCTTGAGTTCAATCCCTGGGACCCACATATTTAATGAAAGATAAGTGACTCATGAAACTGTACCATGAAATGCATAAATGTTTCATCCCAAAATTACAACAAATCAAAATTACAGTATATAAAAGAAATCCATGATTAGACAATAGTGGTAATTTTTTAAATGAAAAAAAATAAGGCGGTAGATATTAGAACATGAGAGGAGAATCTTCCAGTGGCTGACAGAAACATAAACCTAGAATGCTACACAGTCATTCAAACACAGCAAAGCTGAACAATCTGACAGCATCCACCATGTGTGAATCATTACTAAGGAAACCACAAAGTGATGATGCCAGCAAGCCTCCTACAAAGGGGCTTCATGCTAGCAAAGTTACCTCAGGAAATTTTCCCAACCAGTTCAAGTGAAGGTGAAACGAAGTACACTGAAACCAACAGGGAAGTCCTTGGAACTCACTCCCCACACAATTCCAACAACACAGCATGGAGACTGCAGAGCTGAGCCTGCTCCTAACTCTGCTCCAAGGAGAAGAGAGAAAGAGAAGAATGAAGCATGCTCAGCATTCTGACTTTCAGGAAACCATAGGAAGGAGTCCTCTATGTCTCCTCTGAATTTAAGCTATGACACAAACAAGGTATCTGGGCTCTGAGCCCTTCAGTGGCACTAAAAATCAACAGGGAGAATGACCAAGTAGCAACTTACAAATACCCAACTGTATTACATACACAAGCTTCTCACAGACAATCCCCAGGAAAAATAATGTTTGGGTTTATTTCTTTGTTTGGTAGATTTTTGTACATTTCAACAATTTTATTGAGATATATATCCCATGCTGGGCATAGTGGTACATGTCTTTAATATCAACACTCAGAAGACAGAACCAAGCAGATCTCCGTGAGTACAAAGTTACCATGTTAATTAATATAGCAAGTTCCAGGCCAACTAAGAATATATAGTGAGACCCTGTCTCAACAAAAGAACAGAAAGAAGGAAGGGAGAGAGGAAAGGGGGAAGGATAAAAATGGAGACATGGAGGGAGGAGAAAAGAGGGAGGAAGGAAGGAGAGAAGGAGGGAGGGAGAGAGGGGGGTATGGACACTCAGAAACTCAAAGATCTCCAAGATAAAGATATAAAGACCTCTGAAGACACACATCATAACCAAACTGTCAAGGTCACAAAAAAGGGGACTCTAGAGAATAACTAGAGTAAACAGCTTTTTACTTAATATAATGGAGCCAGAGGTTGTGAGGACCGTGAACAAAGTGTCTTCAGGACATGACCTCTGTATTCATGAACTCACAATAGCTGTAGTTGTCTGCACAAGACCCATACAAGGTTAAGTCAATCAAGGTTCCAGTATAGAGATGGGAGGGTCTCAAAAGCCTCAAGCCCTAGTTCAGAAGCTATTAACAGTTGATGGATTCTAGGGAAGGAAGAGTCAGCCTTCTCTAAAGTCACAGTGATCCAGTGGAGTAATCTAAGAGGACTTGGAGAAGGGAGGGCGAATGTGATCAAACACACTGTATACATGTATGAAACTTTTGAAGAATTGACAAAATATACATATTTAAAATATGCAATAAGTTCATTTGAAGAGTCTAGTGTTATTTTGATGCTAACACAACAAAAATGTTCAAGAAAAACATTTCTGACATCATTCATAACATTTTTAAAACTAACAAAATATTAGTAAACCAAATGTGTTTAATTTTAAAGTATTGTAGAAACAGAAAATCAAGACAGAGTACATGCATTCACAGATGCCCAAGGGCTGTAAGGCCATGGAATTTTTAAGTATTAATCTCTTTGGACAGTTGTATGAAATTATAAAATGAACCTGTAATCACTATTAATAGTGACAAATGTTGTACAGTCCCTTTAGCAAATGGCTTGGTATAAATGATTTTTTATTAACATTTTCACACAGATGTGAACCTCGTGTTAATATAAGCTCCCTAGTAATTATACTTTAAAGGTTAAAAAAGAAAAACAGATAAGTAGCTAAAGAAAATGTCAGAGTCAGACACATACACACAATTAAACACAACTCAACCATTAAAACATCTTGTCCCTTGAGATGACATGAAATAACTAGGAGGATTCTATGTTGCATGAAATAAGTCAAGCATTAAAAAAAAAAGCAAACATTGTCCCACTCATGTGGAGAACCAAAAATTATTGTTCTCACAGAAGTAGAAAATAAAATGTTGTTCACCAGGGGGAGATAAAAGGAAAGAATTCAATGGAGAAATGCTGGTCAAAGGATATGTGTTTAGACTCAGACAGAGGGATTTTTTTAATCATGTCTAATATAGACAACAGTTGGTAAGTACTTTTTAAGGCCTGAGGATGAAGGAGAAATGATAAGCTGAGATAGAGAAATGAGAAATGGGGATGAGTACTGATGGCTATGGAGATAGAGTCACTTTAGCGCAATAACAATATTCTAATAGTGATCCTGATGGTCACACAATTCTGTAATTTTACAGAACCACTAAATTGTACAACTGAAATAGGTAAATTTCAGAATACATGGATTATGGTTCAATAAATCTGTTTTCAAAGAAATCAAAATAAAGAAATTAATATTTTATCTAATCTGAAATATCTAGAATGACATTTCAGTATATAAATATAAGAAAAATAATGCACATGTTCCTATATGACAGATACCATACTGTTTTAACACACAACACATAAAATTAATCATTTCTATGTGGATATTTCAAACTAAGCTCCTGAAGTATAGCAAATATGTTATACCTTTAGCATATCTCAAGTCAAGCCAGATGCATTTCAAGTTCTCACTTGACTTAGCACCACCCACAAACCAGGAGACTAGTGTCATTTCCCTTACACTGGGAGAGGTACTCATTGTATTATTCCTTCTACCTCCCTCACAGCCTTGAGATTTTAATATAACATTGGACCAGAAAGGTGCAGAATATTCTGAATTCATGTGATCATCAAGTAGTACACATCAGCTGCCACTGGACTTTACTCATCTGTTTATTCATCTAGCAATGAGGAGATTGGAATTATCTGACCTCTCGAATGTGCCCCAGCTCCAGTCTCATAAGTACCTCTACTCTGTGTGTCCTCAGTTCCCAAAGCATCCTGGGGAAGGGACAGAACTGGCTCATGGTTGAAGAGGGCAGGTTATACCTGCCCTAAGCTGAAAGGCAGCTTCCATCCAATCATAAATCTCTTCACCTGGGATAAGGGCATCTGTCCCAGATGAGATGCCTTGTGTAATCTGCAGGAAGGTTCTGCAGGGACTAATGTGCCAAGAAAGAAAAGTACTCTGCATATTTCAATTAAGTGCCCATGGGAGCAGCCACTTAACCTATCTCAGTTAAAAATCCCATAGAAGGAAGCCCAAGTTCACAACTGGAATCGGGCCACCCAGACAATCAAGCATTGTGGGATTGTGAAGTGAACAGCTCACAATGTTGGGAGGTTGAAAGAATGACTTTCTGAGAGGTGCTGGGTTGTGATTACAGTCAGAGCAATTGTGCCTTCTGAGAGTTCTTACCACCTCCAGATGCTAACCCTGACCTAATGGGCCCCATCCCACCCATATTTGGTAAGATCAAGCAAGAAATACCAGAACACTAGATCGGGAAGATGACCTGTCCCTGTGCTGATAATATTTAAGAAAATTTTAGCAAAAGGGGCAAAATTCAGTTTAGCAATAATATTGTTTACAGCTCCCACCAGTACTGAGTTAAATATAGGATCTAGATGATTCTATTGGAAATGTCAGAGGACTAAATAAAGGAAATGATTTTCCAGAGTCCCATAGTCCTAACATGCCCAAAACAAAACTCGACCCAATTCTCTGTAACTCTACAGCTGTTATAGAACTTCTTTTCACTGTGTCAGGATTCATAGTGGCTGATGTCTGTTAAAGTTATGATTTCCTCTTGTTATTGAGAATTTACTGTTTGTGCGCAGTTCAAATGCTGTGATTGGACATGGTATTTTCCTCCAGGGAGTTTATGTTCTAAAAGTCTAACCCTGGTATAGTAATGTTAAGAGGTAGTGAAACACTTACGAGAGCTTGTAGGAAAGGTGATTAAGTCACCAAAGGCACCTCCCTGAGAGGAGATTAATGGTAGTCTCCCAAAGTAAGTTAGTTCTCTGAGAGTTGATTTTACAAAGCAAGGCCAGCATACAAGCTTAGCCCTTTCTGTGTGTCACCGGTGTCCATCTCCTTCTGTTTGTCACCGGTGTCCATCTCCTTCTGTGTGTCACTGGTGTCCATCTCCTTCTGTGTGTCACTGGTGTCCATCTCCTTCTGTGTGTCCATCCCCCTTCTGTGTGTCACTAGTGTTCATCCCCTAATCCTCTATATTATAATGTGTTCCAGAGAAAGCTCCATGGAAACCAAACACATAAAGACATTCAATCTAGAACTTTCAACCTCCAAAACCATGAGCTAACTAAACCAGCTCTTATTTATAAAGCTTCCAGACTCTGGTACATTGTTATAGCAACAGAAAATAAACTAATATGCCAAGTAATATTATTTGGCTACTGCTTCATAGTAAATGAAGTGTATTATACCTTCTATGTTTTTCCTAGTGCGTCTCTTTGTTGATCCTACACCTCAAAAGTAATCCCATTAGAGTATAAAACACAAGCCCACCTCCTTCTCTGCAGACCTTATTCTGGAGCTTCCTGTGCCTTTTTCAGAGTAAAGTACCTGGTAGAGAAAGAACATTGTCATTGTCAGAATAGAGAGAAATTTCATATAGCCAATGGATGGCACGAGTCTTTTCAGGGCTGTACAGGCAGCAGAATCTCCTTAATAAACCAGGAAAATATCTAGGTTGCCCAATGATCTCTTCCAAGGAGCCTAGTTATGGGCTCACTTAAGTCTTCATCTACCTTATGTCAGGTAGACCAAATAGAAATCACATAGGTGATCACAGTGGCTTTGAGCTTTCATAATCCTTCTTTATATATGAGAATAATGACTTTTGACAAGGACCCTCATCACACTCCCACCTAAAGGAATTCCAAGCATCAAAGAGAAAATGCTATTGTGGCATCTAGAGAGGGAAGAGACCTTTCCTGACAGACCTGAAATTGCTCGACATCTTCATCTTCTGTTTTCTGACTAGTATGTCAAGATGAGCACATTTTCAATGCTAGAATAGAGGGTTAAACCCCCAAACCAAATCTGCCTGAAAAATCAAAGGAAACTCCCCACCTTCTGTAACTCAGAGGCAGTGGCTCCTCTGGTCCCCATGAGGATCATGCCAATGGCTGTTGAGATGCCCACAGGAGAAAAGAAGACGTTGCCATCATTTGTTTTATCCAGCTTTTTGAAAAGATCAAACCCGAACTGTGCCGTTGCTGTGCCTAGTGAGTCCATGATGGTTTCCAAGCAATCTAGAACAGCGATAACAATCAACACAGCATCTGGACTGGGTTCCTTTATGCTGTGGTCACACCTTCCTTAATTTATCCAGAACACTGATGTCTGGGGCCCTCTCTGAACAGCTCCCTGATCCTTGCTCCTGTTCCCATGGCAGGAGACGTAAGTCACCTGAGGCTCTAGCTCCATCCAGTAGTTGTCAGTTTTCATTTCCCCAGGAGGTAGGGTAATGCCCTAATGGTTTTCTCCTCTTGTTTATCCATAGCCAGAATCTGCTTCCCACCTCCACATCTTACAATAAGCGTCTCTGAACAGACCCACCCTTGACTTGTTGGCGAGCAGCTTACCCAGCTGCCCAGCAAGCGCAGAAATCATTATCCTCACAATCAAGCAATGCTCTCCAATCCAGATTCATTATACCAACAACAGTTGTATTCTTATCTGACAGTCCCCATGTCTCAACAGACCCAAATACAGTCCAGAGAAGCAAAAATATTAAGTCCCCTAACCCCTGATTCCTAACCCCACAAAAAGTAGTCTATGAACTGAATTGTCTCCTAAAGAGCAGTGCGGTATCCATAGTCACGGATTATTAGGTGGTGTAGTTTTATTTTCTTGCACTTTTCGTTTTTTGCAGTGAAAATCTTACTGTTATTAAGTAACAAAAAATAATTTTCAAAGAGCAACTAATATTCAACAAAAATAAACAAGTACAAATGTGCTTTATTTCTTTTTCTTTAGCATTTGTTTCATAATGTCTTTTAAAGAAAACCACATAAGAAGAAAGTGAAGGAAGCAGCTGGCAGCCCTCACACTCTACATCTCATTCCTGCTAGGAAATCCCACCCATCAGCCTGCGTTCACTGTTAGAAGTTCCCTCTCAGTTCCTTTACAGGGAATCCTTACTCAGGAACAAAAGGATTTAACTCACTGACACACTGGATGGAGAAGATGGCTTGCATTGGCCATTTGGGCACTGAGATAAATAAAACTCACCTCAAGAAGAGTCTCTGAACAATAAAATAGATTTATTTCAAACTAGCAAGCATTCTCATTCTCAAAACACAGGCTCTTAAGCTGGACCTGAGGAAGAACTTACCTGGCTCTTGAAGGGACAGAAGTGGCTGGACAAGCGACTAGGAAGCTATGTAAAGTGAGCAGCTGAGGTCTTTAATTTATAGCACTCTCTGCCTCTCCCTAGTCATTACAGTTTGTCTTTCCAGTGAAACAGCCTCTGGTTTCTCAATGGCAGTTTCCCTAATAAAAATAGCACACAGGGTTTATGAGAAAACTGACAGCTTTATTTTCCTTATGGCCATGAAGTCATGTACTTAAATACCAGCAACTGCATTATCCACTTCAACCCAAATAATGTGTGCTCAGAGACACAGGAAGTAAACTTCTTCCAGATCCTTCTGACATGGTACTGGGAAACCAAGGATAAAGACATTCAAATCAACCAGAGAACAAAACAGGATTGAAGGCAGATGTTCCAACTGGGACTAGAGGACGGAACTTCAATGGCCAGGCCTAGGCAATCATGACACAAGAGGCAAGTGAACAAGCCAGGAGAGGCTTTCCATCATTAAATGATAGCAGGGTGTTCTGGGAGGAAAGACTCTGTAGAGCGGCAGTTTTATACCCTAGAAATACATCACACCCCTGAGGGACTTGAGCATCTGTGCCCAGACCCTGACCTAGAAAGAGTAAGCCTCTGTGTGGTGAGAGCCAGAACTAGCTCTGAGTCATCCAGGAGGGCAGGGTTGATACACAGACGAGGCTGAGCACAACTTGTTTATGTAGGTTAATGAAGACACCAGTTAAAGCACGCTTTATTTTACCACAGACCAACAGTGTTGGGCCCTGACAGGCCATTCAGTATATGAAGCTCTAGTTTGTGGTTTTATTATTTTGTGGTACCAAATGCAAATAAGATTAAAGAACGTAATTGTGCTAGGCATGAGATAGAATAAAAGAGAAAAGTCTGGGCATGCAACTTCAAACTTACAAGCATATGCACGCACAGGCGCGCGCACGCACACACACACACACACACACACACACACACACACACTGCTATTCCCAAATAATTAATTGCTGTTCCATTAATTAAGAAGGCTCCCATCAGAATGAATTCCATAAATAATTATTGACTGTACCATGTACCAGACACTGTGCTAAATACTAGTACTTCATGAATATTCAACAACCCCATGGGATTCAGAAAAACAATCTACAATCTGTATCTTGGAGAAAGCTGGGTAGGAAACCGTACCTCCAAAGTCCAAATTTGCCAACCCTGGAACATCCCAACTGGCTTTACCAGTTCATCAAAAGAACAAGAGAAACACTGAAGACTAGACTCAGCTTCGCTCTTAATCAGGGGTGTGAGGGTTTGTAGTCATTGCTGAGCCCTCCTGGGAGGACGATGTTAGCTCCAGTGAACCTGATAATGGGCCTTCAAAGAGAGCGAGATGCAGCCTTGAGGCAGAGCTCATGTACAGACCTGTCTCAATATTCACAATTGGCTTTCTTCATTTCTTAAAATGAAAAAAAAAAGTATGCTCTTTAAAGCAGATTCAAAGCAGTATTTAACTAGCTTCTCCTTTTTAATTGTCACTGGAAATATGCAAATTGAGTACGGTTGAGAAAGAATCAGCATTTGATTATAGTTAACCCTGATATCAGTCAAGTAGAAATGTTAGAGGTTTTCAATTAGTCATGGTTATGGTTAACCCTAATGTCAATGATACAGTAATGTTACAGGTTTTGATGGCATAAAATCATTAAGTCTACAATAATAGTTCATGCTTTAATATGCCTATCCACTTTTATTCTGTAATCCTTTCTCTGTGGCCCCTACACTCACTGCCCCACTGTGGACATACTTCCAAATGCTCTCTGCTTCTGTTGAGAAACATTCCCTCTGCTTTTGCAGGGCAGTTTTGCTGCCCATGACATCAGACACTTCACAGTCCTCTCTGGGAACAGTCATTCATATCCTGGGATCAGAAAGCGCAGTACATTATGGCTGCACCCCACTCTCCGGGCTTCCAAGTCATTTTCCCCTCATTTAATCTTAGGACACTTTCATTATCAAGCTTTCCCAAATAGGATGTCCCTCTGGTCCTGTGCACCTGGCCTCTCTGTCCTTTCTAAGTGCTCCCACCACCCCATAGTGCCTATGCCTCTTTGTGGCACCTCCCATTTCCCTGACCTCCATCAATTTCCTTTAGTGGCTACTCACACAGTCATACATTGAGCATCCCATCGACGGGGCCTGCTCCTATTATAAACTAGTGAACACTGAAATGACTACATGTGGTCACACATTCCCATTACATATTCCCATTATTGTCACAATCTCCAATCATGAGATTCTTTCCATTTCTTCTACTTTATCAGTCTCTTCTTCCTGATTTCAAACATCCTCAGGAAAGAAAATGTTGGTTCCAGTGAACAAAAAGATAAACCAGACAAGCCCTGGAGCAAATGACACTGGATTCCCTATTCTCTCCCATATAGCTCACGGCTCTGTTACAATGTCTACTTATCTATTACTTATACTTACTTATTGTTCTAGATGCTGCTGGTGTCTCAATGAGATTCCTTTCCCAACCTGTACATCTACCCCCTCATGTGCCCTTTACTAAGGTCAGTGGTTCTCATCTGAATGGAATCTACCTATCCAGGAGCTACGTATAACTCAGCTGTGGCTCCCTAGGAAACATGCATAAAAAGATAGATCCCACCCAATTTCTGATTGCCATCCAAGGCTAGTGATATTTAGAACCTTCATCTAAGACACTTCTTATTTCAGTGGGTGGTGGTTAATGCATAACTAGTCAAAGGGCCAAGAATAAATGTTTGTGGCATGCTTGGCCCTAAATGAGGTGTCTATGTCATCCCTTTCTAAGGCTCAGGGAACACTGGGGAGGATAAGACAGAAACAATATAAGAGATAGAGGATGAGGAGACACATAGCAAATAATATCTCCTGGGCCTATTATCGCCATTGCACTCATGTACTTTCTGTAGCTGTGGTTATCTGCATAAGACCCACACAAGATTAGCCCCATCAGCGTGTCGCTGTGAATAGGAGAGGAGTCGGAGACCTCCCCTCTCCCTGAGAGACCATTGCTAGTTAGTGGTTAGTGGGAGAAGCACTGTCATATTCTCCAGTGCCACAGTAACTGGCCCTCACACTCTAGTAAGCAATCTCCCTCCCCATGTTCACACAAGTGATTCTAGTTGAACTCAGCGGGTCACACACGAGAAGACATGCAAGCAGGAAGAGACTTGTGAAAAAGAAAGGTTTAGTCATTAGTGGGGAGGGGGACAAAGGAAGGAATTGGGGGTTAAAATGACTAGCACTCACCATATCCATGTATGAAATTCTGTAATGATTTTTACATGGAAATGAAAGTGCCCAACCACCCCCCCACACACATCATGCGGGACTGTTATGTAGTCTTGGTTCCAGAATTCTCCTGTGGTATCAGAGAATCAAATCTCTAGTGGAAACATACCTATAATTAATGCTTCCCCTTGCCCCAATTTTCTTTTTTCAAAGCATCTCCTCCCTATGGAAAATTGTAAGAAAAAAAATGTTAAGTATTTTTGTCTTTGTTTCCAAGATACTTGACATAAACGTGTTTTTATGCCTAGCCCAAACACCCCATTGTTTTTAAAATTCTTACATATATTTTCCTTTACATAAATTCTTGATTCACTAAGACCTATGAAAAATTTCTCTTTAGATATAGATTTGGGTCCTGTTAAATTAATATTTTTCATTTTTACACATCTTACAAGAAAGTTTATCATCTTTCATATGCCTTGGTAGAGCTCACAGGGAGACAGAAACATATAAAAATAAAAGATTTCTCTTTGCGATTAAAACAAGGAAATTAAAGTGAAACATGACTTGAAGAATTTTTAAACTGTGAGATTTTGGGCATATCATTGCAATTATACTAAGTGTGATCATGATGAAAATGTTGATTACGGTAATGTT